GCTCTTGCTGGGTGGACGCGGGCCGGGCGGGAAGAGGCGCCCGGGCACCCGGACGGAGCGACTGGAGCAACGAGTGGGATGAATGAGATGGCTCTGGGGTGCTGCAGCAGGTCCCTCCCTCCCTCCCTGCAGCTGCCCCACGGCAGAGAGCTCGGGGGGAGCAAAGGCGAAGCATCTACTCTACAACAGCTGCCCCAAGCCAGGGGCCTTCACGAGGCCCCCACGAGGCAGCGTTCACTCGCACGTCCTCACCTCCACGGCTAATAGTACCGGGCCCATCGTCCTTCCCTCCCATCACCTGCTTCATGAGCGATCCCAGCTTAGGCTGTCTCTTGTCGGAGAAATCTGTAGCACCAACAAAACGTCAGCTCTCGGTCTCGCTGTGCCGCTCCAGAGGGACCCTCCCGCCTTGCCTCCCCACAACTGCTCAGGAGGGAGGGGAAGGGGCCAGAGAAAGCAGCAGCAAGCAGGAGCGCCGGGGGCCGGGACCAGGAGGCCAGCATGCGGGAAACACCTTCCAGCTGGAGCCACAGCGAAAAGGCACCTGGTGCAGCAGTGCGAGCGAGGGCTCGACCCTCCCGCAGCTCTGCCCCGGCCCTGCCCCAGGCGCTTTGCACCGTGGGGGGATCACCCAGGCACTGCCGCAGCCCGGCAGCCCCCTGCTCTGCGGCTCCCTCGCCACCACGCCAGGTCACCCCCACCGCTGGTCTGACCCTCCCTCCTTCAGCCGCGGCTCCGGGCATGTCTCCTCCACACCAGGGGAGAGGCCTCGGAGGGGCTTTCGGCAAGTCCTCTCCTCCCCAGGCTGCAGGGAGCCCCTGGCTGGGTTCCCCCACGGTCTCTCTGGCCCCCGGTCACCTCTGCAGCAATGATGGGGTGGATGGCTGGGACAGAGGATGAATGACACCGGAATGCGGCAGCGCAGCGACGGGCAACTCTGCCCCAGCAGGAAAGGGCAGGCTGCTCGGAGAGCAAGGGAGGCAGAGACTTACCGAGGCTTCCCACGACAGACCCCGAGCACCGCTGCCCGCTGCGCTGGGGTGCAGATGGTGCCGAGATCTCAACTACTGGGGTCTGTCCCCACCCGGTCCTCAGCGAGCGCCTGGATCCGAGCACAGTCTGGGGCTCCCAGTGCTCGCAGGTCCAGGGCCACCGGGTTTCCCAAAACCCATCCCCACCACCAGCCACAGAGGCCCAGCTGGAGCTGGGAGCTCTGGAGAGCATGCTGGGAAGGCTCTGCTGCCTCCTGCGATGTGGGAGACGGGGGAGAGCAGCTCACCTGGCTGCCCAGGCTCTGGGACGGACAGCAGGACCCACGGCTGGGGCCCTGCACACACGAGCATGAGCCCTCCTGCATCCCCGCTGCGCTGCAGCCCATGACCGAGCCCCTCACCTGAGCTGCTCATGTGTGCGGAGGTGAAGCCACTGAGCGTGTTGCGCCCGCTGGCGTCGGCGTAGTGCGGCATGGAGTTGATCACGGCCTGCAGGTACTTCTCCTGCTCCAAACTGGTGGAGTCTGTCTGCGAGGGGCCTAGGAGGAGAGCCACGAGCATCACCGCTCCGCCACCGGCACGAGACCCGAGGAGGGGTCTGCAGCCCACTCCCGGCACAGGCGTTGCCCAGGGGCGGAGGGGATGGGCACCTGCAGTGGGGGCGTTCTGGGACTTGAAGAGGCCCACGACGCCCTTGCCGTGCAGCCCCCCTGAGCGCAGCAGCACTGCCTTGGTGCGGGAGTTTCGCCAGCACACCACGGGGAAGCGGTTCTGGCGGTAGCAGCGGGAGATCCGCTGGATCGTGTTGTCCTGGATGCTCTGTGGCACGATGAGCAGCCCGGGGTAGCTGCAGGAGAGAGCAGAGGCTCTGCAGAGCCCAGCGGGGCGCAGCACGAGCCTCCCCACAGCTCCCACAAACCGGGAAAGACCCCCGCTGTCCCCTCCTGACCCTGCAGACCCCCATCCTCAGCCACAGCCCCGCTGAGGCTCACCTCCGGCAAATGGCGTACATGCGGTTGACGGTGGAGATGCGGAAGGGCTCGTTCTTGGAGCGGGTGAGGCTGCTGCTGAGGGTGCCCAGCCCCATCCGCTGGTAGTCGCGGCAGCAGGCTCGCTCCACCAGGTGGTTGATGGTCATCTTGTCCGAAGGTTTGATGGTGGTGGTGGGGGTCAAAGTGCTTCTGTCCATCTCTTCAGACACTGCGGAGACAAAGGGGAGTCTGGGTCTGCCCTCGGCACAGACACGGCATCCCACGCGCAGCTGGAGGACACGGCTGGGCTGGAGGCATCTCCCAACCCCACAGAGACAGGACAGGGCAGGAGCTCCCTCCAACCTTCACCTGAAACGGGAGAGCTCAGCTGCCCCATCCAAAGGGCTGGGCACTGGGCTTTGGGGTGACAGCCTTTACTTGTGAGGTTAAAAGCACAAAGAAAAGTCAGCTGCCTGGGTACTGACGTTAGAGCAGATTTCTCTGGTGCTTTCACATCGCTTGATAACCACTGAGAGATGAGGAACAGCCCAACACAGATCTGTCCAGAGCTGCTCCATCACACTGGTCTCATCTCCCTCAGAGGAGAGCAACCTCCTGGGAGAGGGGGACAACACGGGCAAGACCTCAGCGCCAGCGAGGCTTTCAGTCCGGGACACTTCCATCCAGGCAAAATCACTGTCAGGCGGACACAACCCTTGGTGGCTGTCCTCCGCGGGTGGCTTTCCTAATGCATTTCCTACTGCCAGAACTGGAGGACAACAACGGATCTCAAAGGCATCTCTTCTGGGCCTGAATGCAGCTCATGTTTTTGCTAATAACTTAAATGATGGACACAGTGGAGGCTTGTAATGTTTGTGGCAGACCTTGAACTGAAAAGCGCTGCAAACAAACTGGGGAGCGAACAAAAGGAGCAGAATCCAAAGTACCTTGGTGAACAGAAGGAAAGGTCCAAAATCAGCTGTGTCCAGTCTGCCAGACCAGCCCCACACACGGCCGGAGGGACTGGTCCCCGCAGACACTGCTTCCCACTGAAACCCTAAATTCCATCCACAACTTCTCTGACAGGCCTTCCCACCTGGGAAGGTTGTGATCTTCAACACAGAGGACTCCTGTCCCTTCCAGTCTGTCCTGGTTTCGGCAGGGACAGAGTTAATTTCCTTCCTAGTAGCTGGTACAGTGCTGTGTTTTGGATTTAGGGTGACAACAATGTTGATAACACATCGATGTTTTTAGTTGTTGCTAGGTAGTGCTTACACTAGTCAAGGACTTTTCAGCTTCCCGTGCTCTACCCACTGAGCAGGCTGGAGGGGCACAAGAAGCTGGGAGGGGGCACAGCCAGGACAGCTGACCCCAACTGGCCAGAGGGATATTCCATACCATGGGACC